ACATTAAATATTGGAAAAAAGTACATATTTACTTTCAGATCTCTAAACTGAAGTGCTAAAAACGTAAGGGCATATAAAGCATCGTTTAAGGCAGCAAACTACCTTGATCAGAATGGGCAGCCTCTCAGAGTAAAGAACATGAACAAAGGGACAGTCATAAATAACACTGGAAGATGATCTCAGATACAATTTAGCACATCACTTTAAGAAACTAGATTGTACCTGAGTGTGCCGCAGAAACCCGATATTGTTAGCAAAATTCTAATTTCTTATTCATCAAATACTTCAGAATAGTACTAAGGTTTTTTGTTTGTGTTGCTTTCATGAAATCAAAGAGCTAAAACTGTTGCACAATTTTTTAAGGTACCTCACTATAATTATCTTCAAAGAGTCCTAAATCATTATCTCTAATGGTGTTTATTTTATTTTAAGATTTTATTTATTTATTTGTCAGAGAGAGAGAGAGAGAGAAAGCACAAGCAGGGGGAGCGACAGGCAGAGGGAGAAGCAGGCTCCCTGCTCAGCATATGGGACTCGATCCCAGGGCCCTGGGATCATGACCTGAGCCGAAGGCAGATGCTTAACTGACTGAGCCACCCAGGCATCCCTTTTCTTTTCTTTTTTTTTAAGATTTTATTTATTTATTTGTCAGAGAGAGAGAGAAAGCGCAAGCTGGTTATTTTATAAAGTATTAAAATACATAGCATTTTAGGGAAGAATTTCATTTCTCACTTTCTCAGATAAGCCATTTGTTGTACTTTAAGACAAGTGTCATGTCAGTTTCTAATAGATCCTTCGTTTCACACTTTTGAATGAATAGGAAATAGAAAGTGAAGAATGAAAAACAATTATTAATACTTTTACCACCGCCACAAAATTACAAGTGTATTTATTTACTTGACTCTCAGTGTTGAAGTGATAACAGTGAGGGAGGGGGTAAAAAAGCCTTCAAATACAATACAAATATATTTTAATTTCAATGGTATTGAAATTTGTGTTTATCTCCATCATTATAGTTTAGAAACTTAATAGAAAAGTTCAAGTGCTTTTATTTGAGCTTTCTAGAGAGAAATTTTTTTATCTTAAAAAAGTTTCTTTTTTCTACATTATCAAATATCACATTTTCTGACAATTATAAATAGAAAATTTGCTAAATTATTAGGAATATGGTAAAAATAACTTTTACTTTATTTGTAAACACTGAAAGAGTATTTTTCAATAAAAAACAGGGATATACTTAAAAAATGGGGTGCCTGTCTGGTTTAGCTGGTGAAGCATGAGACTCTTGATGAGTTCAAGCCCCACATTGGGCAGAGAGCTTACTTTAAAAAAACAAACAGACAAACAAAAACAAAAACAGGGCATTCAATCATTATTCAGTAATAATTCAGCAGCAAAAATATTGTCTACATATTTTCTTACAGTTATTTGAATCTGCGTACCAGTCAAATATGGCAGACTTCCTTAAAGGTTTATATTCTGACATACGCAGAATGAAGTATTTATAAGCCACCACTGCGAAACTCATTTTTAAGTCCTCTTAACATTGTCTTCCTGTCACTAAAGTGTTCTTGTTTAGATTATTATTGTGCTGACTAAATAATTATAAGCCACCACTATAATACAACAATTTGAAAATGGGGATTCTACAGCTAATTTTGGAATTAACCCCTTATTTGCACTAATACATCATAAATTGTTTGGAGATTTGGTAACAAGGGTACAGTGAACAACTGTGTTCTTCCACGGAATTTAAATACCCCCAAAATTCTAGTTTCTTTTAAAGTATTATCAAAAATGCAGCCCTGCTTTTATAACATAATGAAACAATGAAAATAACTTATCTTGTACATTTTCTACAATACGTAATTATATTTAATAGATACAAATGATTAAGACTTATGCATTTTGTTAGATATTGGACAACGTATTTAAATGTAGACATCCACAAACAATGATAAGTTACCTACAATGTAGAATTCCTCAAGACTGCTCTTCCAGACCCTCTCTGCACCAACGCCTCTGATTTTTGCTTGTCAACTTTGTAAAAACAGGTAATTGCACATAATAATTCTTTACTTCCCACTTCTCTCTGACCTACTCCTAAATACTCATCTAATATCACTACAATTAAACAGTTCAACATGTAAAGAATGGAAAATGGTCCATCATTAGCGGCTGCCTTTATTGATTCCTTAGCATGGGCAGTTCCCCAATTTTGAAACACTATGTGCAAATTGTTCTATTACAATTTACGGAGCACAGAATCTATTCTTCCAAAGAAAGTTAGTTATGTTTTAAAAGGTTTATTTCACAGGCCAGATTCCAAATGCTACACAATCCATAGCAAACTTCTGTTTTAAATTTTAAAAACCTTTCTCAAGTCCCACTTATGCAAATGAGATTTTGCCATAGCTTTTTAATAACTTTAAGAACACTTTAAGAACTGAAATTAAAACATTTTTTAAAAAGATCTTATTTTTTTTAAGTAATCTTAAATGTGGGGCTCAAACTCACAATCCTGACATCAAGAGTCACACATTCTACTGATTGAGCCAGCCAGGTGCCCCCAAAATAAAAACATTTTGATGGAAATCTTTTTAAAAGTATTGTATATGTTCTCTGGTTTCTTAAAAAAAAAAATCTTGACCAGTATTAACATTAAAGAAAACTACATAAATGTGCTACTTATAATAAGGCTAACACATATTCTCTGTGAAATCAGAAATTTTACAGCAATTTGTACCCATGTTCTTATGGCATGGATTTTTTAAAAATAGTTTTTCCATTTTTTTTCTTCATTGCCTCTTATTACCTTTTGATGTTTTCATTTTTCCTACACTAACCAGACCCCAGTCTAGAAAATTTGCTCTTCTACTTTAAGGTACACTAATAAATAAGCTAGAAAGTTAGACAGAATATTGTGTCCAAAGGGGGAAATGAGTCAGGAGAAGAGGGTGAAGGTTTTGAATAGAAAGATGAAGGGTTTTCCTAGTAAACAAAATACAAAAGCAATAATGTATAATAAACTCTGTGATACTTAAACGTTCCTTCAGAGAGTTTCTATGTTCCAAATAACTACATATGCTGGGTATTATTGTATAGTTTGACCATAATTAACCACGATTTTAATATCTTATATATAAGAAAATTTTCATTAAGATGCCAAGTGTAGCAAAATTGAGAAAATAAAAGAGGCCAGGAGTTAGGTGCTCTATATTAAGGCAGAGGAAAAGCAATACCCATCCTCAGCAGTTTTTTGGTATTCTATCTATATGTAGGAAGGCAATTATCCCATTAAAAGATATCATTTACATATTTTAAATTTTATAAACCACTTTCCAACACATTTTTTTTAGAAAATCTTTTTTTTTTTTTTAAGATTTCTTTGAGAGAGAGAGACAGAGAGAGAAACAGGAAGGGCAGAGAGAGAGGGAGAGAATATCAAGCAGGCTCAACACTGAGCTCAGAGCCAGACTTGGGCTTGATCTCACAACCCTGAGATATGACCTGAGCTGAAACCAAGAGTCGGACACTCAACCTACTGAGCCACCCAGGTGCCCCTCCAACACATCATTTTAAAAATACAATATTAACCAATGAGATAAATATATGGAAGGAGAGAAAGACAGAAAGCACGCTATATGTTTTCTTAACTTGAGTTTGCTGTTTTGTTTGTTTTTTTAAAGCTAAGTTTCAAGATAATGAGAAGATAAACCACAGACTGATAGGAAATATTTGCCACAGCCCTATCTGATAAAGAATTGTTACCAAAAATATATAAAGAACACTTAAATGAACAATTGATTAAAAATGGGCAACAGTCCTGAACAGACACCTCACCAATGAAGATATACAATGGCGAGTAAGCATATTAAAAAATGTTCAATATGACATGTCATTGGGGAAATGCAAATCAAAGCTATAACATATCACCACATACCTATTAGAATGGCAAAACTACTTTGTATGATACTACAATGGTGGATGCACACTATCATAAATTTGTCAAAACCCATAGAATACACAACACCAAGAATAAACCCTCACATAAACTATGGACTTTGGGTGATAATGAGGTGTCAATGTGGGTTCATCTATGGTAACAAATGAGCCACTGTGATGCAGGATGTTGATAACTGGGGAGGTCGTGCCTATGTAGCAAGAGGAGTATGGTAACTCTGTACTTTCTCTGCTTATTTTTGCTGTAAAAAATATTAATCAAACCATTAAGGACTGTGGTGCCCGGGAGGCTCAGTTGGCTAAGCGACTGACTCTTGATTTTGGCTTAGGTCATGATCTCAGGATTGCGAGATGGAGCCCCATGTTGGGCTCCATGCTCAGCAGGGAGTCGGGTTGAGGATTCTCTCCCTCTCCCTTTGCCCCTCCCCCCAAAATAATAAATAAATCTTTTTAAGATTTTATTTATTTGAGAGAGAGAGTGTGTGTGTGAGCAAGAAAGCATGAGCAGGGAGGAGGGGCAAAGGGAGAGGGAGAAGCAGACTCCCTACTGAATAGGGAGCCTGATGAGGGACTCTATCTCAGGACCCTCGGATCATGACCTCAGCTGAAGGCAGATGCTTAACAAACTGAGCCACCCAGGTGCCCCTAAATAAATCTTTTTAAAAAAATTAAGGACCAATTACTGCCAAAGACCCAGACAGTTAAGCATTCTTAAAGTTACAAAGATATTCTAAAATTCTGCAGACATAAAAAAGAAGATTACATTGGAATATTATTCTTACTCTGTATTTTATGACATATAAAAATCAAAGATAGGTATTACATATTCCTTCTGATATGTCAAACTATATAAAAATGATAGAGATTTAAATGTCCAAAGCTTAAAAGTAGAAATCAACATTAGTAGGTAAAAGCCTCATTCAGTTTAATAAATGGGCTGAGATACAGACTCTATTCATCGACTTTGGAATTATTAAAATAATTTTACCAGTCTGGATGCGGTAGCTAAAATGGAATATTAACAAACAAGTATTTACCTTTGAGTCATAATTTTGAAGGCATCTGGGAGGTAGCAGTCTGTATTCTCCATCTGAAATGGGTCAGCATCACAAATCTTGTCATCTGTCCGACCGTAGTTTGCGCTCTCAATCATGATGACATCACTGCCTGGACATCGCAGATCTATAGAGTAACCTTCACAGGATAATTCTCGCCTAACTAACCCGAATGGTAAAGCTGCTCTGCTGAAACCTTAAAAATGAAAGAAAAAAAAAGAAAAAAAATTAAAATCAACATATTTATGAAATACATTATTTTAATAAGGCATTTTTCAAGTAATATGATTCATGTCTATACTCAAGAGGTGTCACAAAAATTATGTTTTTTAAGTCATCCATTCATACATTTATTAAATAATTCCTTGACTCCTTACTACCTGTCAAGAATTTATTAGTTTTTTAAATATATATCTTTAGCTGAACTATTCACCTGTAAATACAAATTAAAATTACTCAAACAAAATATGTTCTGTATAATCTACTCACAATCAGAAACTAAGTGACTCATTTTGAGTAAATCCAAAGAAAAATGACCAATTTAATCAATGGATTTATAAATAATGACAAGTTTTACAAATACAAAATTTAACAACTAATCAAGAAACCATTTAGGCAGTGGAATAAAAGCTGTGATATACACTGACTTTAAGGTCTCATTTAATGTAGACATATTAATTGCTGTTAGTAGCACTATCTTAAAAAATTCTTTTTCTTAGCAGTTCTCCCCCCGCCAAAAAAACGGATACTATTACAATAACATACTCATGGCACAATAGCTTATGTCAATTTATAGACACTTTATTTAAAATTGGCATAAATGGAAGCATGCAGCAGTTGGGCATTCAAAGGCGCCAGCACAGCTCCAATCGTCTCCAACAAGCTGAAATAACCCAGGAAGGGCAAAATTTGTCTAAGTGTCACTTTTGTCATCTAGAGAACCGAGATGAAACACCTGTGATGTGACTTTTCCTACCTGTGTGACTCTAAAATAAGATCATGTACATAACAGTGCTCAATTAAAAGCGCTATATGAATTTAAGTGTGGTGTATTAGAAAAAGTATAGACAACTTCTGTTCATGAGTGCTGAAAAAGATTCCCAGATGGGAGAAAAGATTAGAATTTTAAGTTTTCAACCAGGGGACCCATGAAGTAGTAACACAGCACAGGACACAGGGTAAACACAAAGAAAGCCAGAAGTATGTGCGAGTGAAGTCCATCCTCACTGTGCCGGTGTTCTACCCATGGTTAGCTACCACTATCAAAAACTTCAACATTACCTCAATTTTGTATTTCATTTTTCTAACCTGTCACCATCTCAAGCATTCCTGTTATAAAAACTAGCAATAATTTTAGTATTTCTTCTTATCTCTATCCTTTTAATTACTCTGCATCACATAAATTATCCTTTGTGTCCCTTCTATAGAAAAAAACCTGACATTCAGAAGGAAACAGTTCCAAGTTACGAACTTCAAGTTCATAAAACCGGGTTACATCCAGGTCAATCCAATGCCAAAATCTGTTCTCTTTAACTGTATCGTACAATGCCTCTCACTAATTCAATGGAAAAAAGTCACCTGGTAAAACATGCACCTTCTTTCTAACAGACAAATAATCCTCCAGAAGGGTGACTGGGTTACACTTTGATATGACTTAAAAATCACCAATTCTCAGACATGGCTGAGCTCTCAGTTCTACTGAGAAAACTAAAGGTGTAATTGGAATGAAAAGAGCAGAAAAGGACGCAACTTGGAGAACAGAAATATTCAGAGGATTGCGGCCCACCCCAAACTTGGGAGGTTTTTACTAAGAAGGTTTATGGTCTTATGAGATTACTACAAGTATGTGGAGAGATGCTCTATGAAGAAGGAATACAGAAATGGAGCTAGACAGGAGCTCCTGGATGGCTGAGTTGGTTAAGGGTCAGACTTCAGCTCAGGTCATGATCTCAGGGTCCTGGGATTGAGCCCCACCTCAGGCTCGGCCCTCTGTGGGGAGTCTGTTTCTCCCTCTTCCTCTGCCCCTCCCCACTACCCACCCCCAACTCGTGCTCTCTCTCAAATAAATAAATAAAATCTTTAAAAAAAATAGAGCTAAACAAATGTCAAGACAGATATAAGCCAACCTTTTAAAAAGTTTATTTGTGAAAGTTCATAAATAAACTTTTACACGTTTATTATTGCTTTCTTCTGTTTCCTGATACTGTACTAAACTGATTTTATAATTCAACTTAAACTAGTGGGGTTTTTTTTACTACTATTCTTATATTTGTTTCTGTAGAAAATACGCTTTAAGGGGGCGCCTGGGTGGCTCAGTCAGTAAAGTGTCTGCCTTCGGCTCAGGTCATGATCCTGGAGTTCCAGGCCCCATGCTCCCTGCTCAGCAGGGAGTCGGCTTCTCCCTCTGTCCGTCCCCCACCCCGCGTTCTCTCAAATAAATAAAAAAAACATATGCTTTAGAGCTTCACTTACTTCAATGGCAAAAGCTCTGTGGGAATTCAAACAAGCAACATACAAAATTTTGAAGCACAGACGATTTTAAAGGCAGAGATATTTTTGTAATTATAAATCCTTAATAAATGAGAATAAATCATATTATTAGAAAATACTGTGACTGTTAGAACACATTATTAGAAGATTGTCTTGGAGCCATAATTCACAACTTGTCAAAAATATAGGATTGAGGGGCGCCTGGGTGGCTCAGTCGTTAAGCGTCTGCCTTCGGCTCAGGTCACGATCCCAGGGTCCTGGGATCGAGCCCCGCATCGGGCTCTCTGCTCGGCGGGAAGCCTGCTCCTCCCTCCCCCACTCCCCCTGCTTGTGTTCCCTCTCTCGCTGTGTCTCTCTCTGTCAAATAAATAAAATCTTAAAAAAAAAAGTATTAAAAAAATAAAAAAATATAGGATTGATTATGAAGCACTGTGGTTTTTAAAATAATCCCTTAATTTTTGTTGTTCTTGATAGTTTGCAGGATTACAGTTATGGTTCTAAGTTAATTTTCCTCTGCCTTTGAAAGATATTTAAGAATTGTATTGTTGAGTGTCCTACTGTTTTGGTAATTCAGAGAGAGGATTTTTAAACCTTGGCCATAGTCATACAAACAGGTAAAGTAAGAAAAGGAAAAGGAGAGAAAGATCAGTATACTTTAATAATTTAGATTTCTAATGTAGAATCTTCTGGAGAAGAGAGATCATGGTACTTATGCTTTCACTGCAGAGAACTGAATGAGTTCTTAATAGTGAATATTGCCTTATTAAATGCTACAGTGTCTGTTGTTTCGAATCATAAGTGTTCTCCTTTATAAATTCTTGCCCTCTCCCCTCTGTTTCCATTGAACTTTATACATCTTCACTAAAGTGCTTATTATTACTATACAGTACTATGCATATTCATTTTTAATTTATATCTTCCCTGCTAGACTATGATGATAGAGTTCTTAGTTATAATTCCAATGCCTAGGTGGGTACATGACACATAATTCTAACCAGTATTGTCAAACCAAAGCTAAATCAAACTAGTGTTTGTTAAAACCATAAAAAATTGCAATTTTCCCCCTCCTTAATACCTATTTCCTTGGGTAATAGAAATAAAAACAGTTAGCATTTAGAAACAGATAATCCACTTATAATCAATGAAAATGATATGCCATCCTCAAAAAAGAAAAAAAATTCTACCAATTTATTATTTTCTAGGTACTGCTGGGTTCATTAGTGTTCCTCACAAAGATAGCTAACATGTTTATGAACTTTAATTTATTTAAACCATGTTTTTCCAATCAGAAATACAAAAATTCAAATAGGGACACAGAAAAGTTATTATAATAGCTAACATTTACATACCAATTAATACGTTCTGGCACTGTGCTAAATGCTTTATATGGATCACTTTTTTTATGCTAAGCAACATCATCAACAACAAAAAACAATGGAGTAGGTTATTATTATAATACCAACTTTACAGAGCATGAAACCAAGGCATAAAGTTCAGAGTCTCAAGGATTACTATGAGTTTGACTATAATGCACACAGGGTTCTCAGACTTCTGAGCTCATGCTCTTCTTAGTGGCCACAAACAGAAAAGGATTGTGTGCCTTCTCAAGCCACCTTATTGATAATAATTTTATAAATTTTCACGCCGTCTGAAACCCACCAATGTATATTAGTAAATTTGACAGGGCACAATTATGGGAAAGGGTCACAAAACATATAGATAATAATGAAAATTATATTTTTGGAAATGTAGTGTAGTGTGCCATAAATATAAAAAGAACACAATCTACGCTGTTCAAATATGAACACATGGCAAAAGTACGGAATACTGAAGTATATGTGTCTGGGTCAGCCTTGCGAATTTGGCTTAGGTCATTTTATGTTTCTGGGTTTTAATTTCTTTTTCTGAAGAATTAAAGTCCTTTCAAAGTTGCATCAAATTTCATCAATCTATGATTATAAATAGGCAACCTCCTTTTTATCAGGTAACATATGCTATTCTAACATTTTCAAGTGATTACCAAGTAATATATTACTTGCTCTATTTCTTTAAAATATAAGCATACACAAGAAGGCTAACATGGATATGTTATGGCACAACCATGTAGCTTATACAGTACTTTCAAGGTAATTCTTGAAAGCATGTGTGATGACCAGGCAGCCAGTGTTCACACAAATAATAAGTAGACATCTTCCTGGATAAACTATTTTAATCAAAGACAATGAAAGGGATAAAATAAACATGGGTCAATCATGGTAATCACAAGAAAAATTTACATAATTTTTTTAGAAAAATGTAAATTGCTGTGCCTTCTTTTTGAATTTTTAAAATTCAACATTTTCACTAAGAAAATGTGATGAAAAAAGGGAACAAATCTTATTCCTAAATACATTTATTTACTCCTTTATTTATATTACATTAATAACTTACTATATTGAATCACGGAAATAAATCATCACAGGTATGGCTACTATTTCTTAAACACACTTTCTTCCTTTGTATATTATGTAATTCTTATCTGTTTAAGTGGGTATTTTTAGGACTTTTTTTTTTTTAAGTCACTTGCCAGGACTATATAATTGATTCCCAAACATGATTTTGCATCAGAGTCAGCTGGTAAATGTTTTTAAAAAGATCTTCAAGCCCTAATCCAGACCTACTGAATCACAATCTCTGGGTTCAGATAAAGCTGGGTATCTGTATTTG